TTCAGATGTTTGAGCATCGAAACTAGGTGAAATCTTTAGTGAGGTACTGAGGAAGTGCTACACTGTCTTACAACCAGATAAGGAGGGAAATCAGTTCTGCTCTTTTTAATTCGTCCTCAGTCAGTCACAACAACTTTTTTTTAACACACAGCTATCACAATTCAATTGAACTGTATTAACCAGACCAAAATGAAGGAGCCAAACTATTAGTTTTTCTTGTGCTAAGAAAGAAGAATTATATTCCTCACTGACTCCAAAAATATAGGAAAAACACAACATCAAACACACGCACACAAAAAATAGTTTAAAATGGAGCGTTTGTCTTATGGAGAGGAAGAATTAGCTGTGCTTTGTTAAAAAGTCCGGAGAGTCTATAAAACCAGATTAGACATTAGGAAGCATGCAGCAGGGGAATCATCGCTTGGTTCCCCAAAGCCTGTCCTCCACCTACAAAGCAGTAGTGTGATGGAACATTTCCCACTTGCCTAGGTTAGTGCATCTGCAACAACATTCAAGAAGCTTGATACCATCTAAGAAACCTATTTGATTCGTATCACATCCGTATTCACTCCCTCCACCGCTAATGCTCAGTAGCAACAGTGTTTACCATCAACAGGTTACACTGCAGAAATCCACCAATGCTACTTAGATAGCTCTTTCCAAATCCATGACCACTACCAGAATAATGGTGGTAGTCAGCTTGGAACATCACCATTTGCAAATTTGCACCAAGCCACTCACCACCTTGATTTGGAAATATATTGCTGTTCCTTCTGTGGTCGTGGGTCTAACTCCTGGAACACACTCCCTACTGGCATAGTGGGTGTACCTACAGCAAATAGACTGCAACTGTTCGAGAAGGCATCTCACCACCACCTTCTCTAGGGCGACTAGGAATGGGTAAGAATATTGGTCCAGCCAGCAAGACACACATGCTATGAATGAAAATAAAATGGATATGTGGAAAGAAACTTGCAGCTTCTTCTTGTTACTAATTCACGTTTCTTTCTCTCTTTCTATACCTTGCAGCTCAAAGCAGCCATTGAAATATGTCTATTTGTGTATTCCTGAGTCTGCTAGATGTGTTTCATTTGTTCCATTTAGGTTCCCTGGACATGATATGGTCAGGTGATCAGTGGAGGTGTTTTAAGTGAATTATTATCCTTTCCAAAAGTCACTACTTCATGAAGATTTCAAGTATTAAAATCAGATGACAGAAGTTGATCATCAATAATTCATGTTTAACATTATTGTAACAACTGTCAATGCCATCTTTCAAATCATAAGAGCAGAAGTAGGCCATTCAGCCCATCAAGTATGCTTCTCCATTCAATGAGATCATGGCTAATCTAATGGACCTCAACTCCACATCCCTAACTTTACCCCCTAACACTTCATTTCCTTACTGATTGAATCTGTCTATCTCGACCTTGAATATACTAAATGAACCAGACTCTAGTAAAGAATGGCACAGATTTACTACCATCTGAGAGATGAGATATTAAACTATTGTATTGTCTATCCTCTCCAGGCACATTTTAAAGAATATGCTGGAGCATTAAATATGCGTCATGAGGGTTCTTAAACGCTAGCTCATACGGCTGTCAATGTTCTTAGAGGAGAAGTATGTGTCGGTGCCCTTGGAGCATTCCCTGAGATGTTGATGCCGATGTCCAACGTGGAGGTCATTTGGAGGAAGTAATGAGCTGAGGTTTCTAGGCACCACTCTGGTTTCCATGCTACTTGCATCATTTGGTAAGATAGAGTAAGCTGAATATAAATGAGGCAAGTTGGGCCATTGACCAGGTGCTTAACAAGCAGTTATCCCTTTTTAATTGGCATTTCGCTACTGCCTAGTGAGAAACTCACCAGAGTGCATGTAAAAACCAGAAAAGATGGAGTAAGATGCTCCTGACATTGAGACAGGCCTTGCTGAACTTTTCATCTAATTCTCAACGTTTCATTAATAGCCCATGTCATTCACACCCCTAAAAGATACTGCCCATTACTTTTTCTTATATCAGTATTACTCCTGATGTTTATCCGTGGTGGATACCAGATGATAGACAGTAGATACAATGGTGAATGCTGTAATATTTTCAGTTTGGTTTTGTGGAGGTATCAGGGATCTGATCTGCTGGGCAGAGAGCCAACAAGTCTCAATGCTGCCTCCACGGTGACAGCTCATCGGTATCATGCCACTTGGGCACTTGAACAGCCAGTGGCAGGCCTTTCCTAGGATCAAAGACACTGGGAGCACAAAGCCCACCTTGTGAATCACAGGGCAGCAGGCCTTTCGAATGGCAGCACCACTGGGGAAACCATGGCTACTGTCAGAATGACACCTCTGGGGGTACCCAGAATTGAGGAGTGACCCACAACACAGATAAGTAATGGCCAGAAGAGTTTCACAGTTAGAAGGTAGCAGAAAAAAGTGATATAGGGAGACCAGCAGTAAGGAAAAGGTTTTATCCCCTGCTTTCCAAAGTCTCGTGCCTTGATCAGGTACTAAACACTTTGGACAGGGGACTTCCAGCAACTCCCCTGGCCCCACAACCCCTCCAGGAGATCATAAGGAGTCCGTAGAGTTTTACTTATTCCTCATGTGACATGCCAATGAATTGATACCAGTGAAGGAGGGATCAGGCCTTTAAGTGGTCATTAATACTCATGTAGTAGGGTGGAATGTCTAACCATGGGTCTTCCTGTCCTGATTTCATTTTGACAAAGGTGCGGAAACAATGAATGTCAGACATGCCACTATCCAACCTAGTTTAATGACTTTCCTGCCTCCAAACAAGCCTCGAAAGAGGCCAAAAATGTCACCTTTTATCTAATGAAAAGTAACTTCAAATTCAGAATTAATTTTATTTAGAATCTACAATAATGTCAAAAATAAGATATTCATCTCATTAATCTAGTTGCATTCCGGTTCAATGTACAGTGATGATGTGGCATTGTTCCAACATATTAAATCAGGCAGCCTCCTAGCTAAGACGTTTAATAAGAAGTGAGACTCTGATTATTGCTGCTTGGTCTATGATTGTAACATCAAACGAAAGTACAAAATTTTGATCATATTGATATTATTAAGAAACTAACTATTAGAACAAATATATTTCAGGGAAGTCAGTACAAGAAGACACATTTTAAATGGAAATACTTGCCTTCAATGTGGCTAGAGTGTTAGTTTTAAAACAGTGGTCATCAGCAGAAGGACTCCAATGTAAAAACTTGAACATAGTCAAGTGAATAATATAGATTTTAAGTGTTAAAGATTTGGTGACATCCATAAAGAGCCAAAAGGAAATATTTGCTGCGATCTCATTAAAATTATTCTGGTGGGCTGGAAGTACTATTCATAGTGTTCATATGTCTTATCAGGGAACAGGAACATGCGTGTTAATTAAAGACAATTAAAGTCATTTCAAGGGGTGCTGCTCTGTCTGCAGACAACAATGGGACCTCCTTACCTGAAGAACTTGGCTGGAAGATGTCCAAATAGAAAAGTTAGGCTTTCTAACACCATATTGGAGGCCTTTATCAAGGTGGTGGACAGGAGGAATGTGATCCTATGTCTACCAGTGGGCAGAAAGCCCTTCTCACAACAGCTCCATTGTCAGTAAGAAGCAATCGTTGGTGAAGTTAAACTCAATTCAAACCTGAAATACCAAAAGAAAGCTTAATAATTTTACCCGAGTTATCACGATAAGAATTGTGCTTTCTTGCATTCAGTTCACCCCTCTAGCCTCACTATGGATAATACTTTGTCTGTACTTCTCTTTATTCTCCTATAATCAGTGCAACATCCTTTAGTCCACCTCTATGCCTCATACTGAAATATAATCATTATAATAACTGCATGTCTGATAACAATACAATATTCAACTGAAACGAGATTTTTATTGTGCAGTCTGATGCCATACTATGAATTTAGGTTCAAGATAGACTGGTAGAGGAGAAGGCAGAGGCAAAGCCTACCTTCAGGCTTACACTGCAAAGGAACATGATTACTATACACTCATACAAAATGCTATTATACATGGTAATCATAAATAAACCAGGGTCTGGTCTTCTTATTATAATAATTAAGTACAAATGTACCTTCTTCATGTGTTCATGCCCAGAGGACTCTGCCTCTAATTCTAGAGTGCAAAGTGATGTCTGGTGTAATGTATTTTGTTGCAGCTTGCAGTTTGGTGTAATGTCTAACTCTGCCCACATTGTGCTATTTATGCTTAGTTATGTGCATTCTGTGACAACATCACAAGGTGCTCCAGAGCCTCTCACACAACATCAAGGACATTCTTCAAATACTTAACAAGATTATCATTGATGCACTTGATCCTTTTGTGCAGGAGGTGGTTGCATATGTCTTGGAACAGGACATTGCCTTTGGAAGAGACCACACCCACCTGTTAATTCTAAGGCCTGAGAATAAAAATAGGTGTTACTCTCCCTGTGAATGGTGGACCACTACATTTTTCATTCTCAAGCGAAGACCAAAGAAAGAAACACATGCAGAGGATTCTTGAGAAGTTTTCCAAAGAGCTATTTGATCCTGTGGTGATCACCTTGTTCTGAGTTCTTTAGACTCAGAGCCTAATTTGTGGTGTTCTATTTTACATGTAGGGCCTATATATTTTGATGTGCTCTCCTATCGATTATCTGGAATTAAATGTTATCAAGAAACTGATGTTGATCTGAGAGCAAATCAGCTGTGGCCATGTCTCCTTCTATTCCTGAAATGAAGTTCAACTGCCTGAATATCAACACTCATCTCTGCAAATTATACTTATAGGAATTATCCCAAGCACTTTATTATCAACTGACTCACAACACTTGGTGATCACATTAACTTACATTTGCATATATGTAATGAACATTTTATAAATTATTGCCTAGAGAAACACTTTTTATTTTTGAAATAATTCTCAATGAAATGAAGCAACGTAAAAAGTCAATTGAGTGTATAATTCATGTAATAGATGTTAGGATGGTCGGATAAATCATTTTTTTTATTATAGTTTTCAGAGCAAAACATCAAAGTCACCGAAACAAAATTAAACTGAAATCATTTGTTTGAGCAATATCATCATTTCATAATTGTTGAAAGTTAGATTTCAAAGAAGTAAATTTGCGGTTCTAATATCCTGAACCTTGTGCAATATTGTCCTTTCTTTCATAAACATGGATTCAACAGTGGATAGATATAAATTGTCATTGTAAAACATACAAAAGATTGCAGAAAAATAGCATGCCATAATAGAATGAATAATTAGAAGTATTAGCATATTTGAACTGAAACATTGAAAGTTTTGTATTGGTTCCAAAAATGGAACATGATTTCATGCAACAAGTTGCTTATTAGATAAGAACAGATGTCTGCAATCTAACTTGTCTTCATATCATTGTATATTCAGATATAGATATTGCAATTTTGCATTGATTGAAGCAAAGATTGTCGATAGAGAGCAGATTGACATTATTGCACTCTGTCTGGCTTGATGGCTTTAGCTATATCATTTGGGTCCTTGCAGGTTCCAAAGTTAGTGTTTGTTATTGAACCAATGATGGATTTATCGCCGTCACACTTCAGACCATTTTCACAGGGACATTTGTAATAAACATTATACAGGAGCTGAAAAAAAAGACAGTTTTAATATTTCCTTAATTTCATAAATAGATTGAGCAAATTAGTGTTGCTAAGATTGGAATTTTTTTAAAAAGCATCAATCAGGAGTTGTTACATGTCAATACTGTGTAGCAATTAATCAAATTGTATTCATCATTTCAGTCAGTATAATACCATTATAGTAAATATGGCAAACATTGACAGCAAACAAACATATCTGCCATCCCTCCCCCTCCCTCAATTACTAATTTGAAGACCATTAATGACAATTGTAAAAATGCCTTTGGCACTGGCCATCTGCCAGGCTGAAGATACATTAGAAACAGTTGGCATAAAATTAAGCTCAAATATAGTAGATATCAGTATGTAAATCAACTTAGAACCCTTAAAGAATTCGCTCCAAAAACAGGGATTGATTTATATGCCAAATAGAAGAGTGAACCACCAGCATAATTGTGGGTTCTTACCATTTTTTTTGTTCATCACTTGGGGTCTACTTCCAACTTGCAACCTGGCCGTATTAACTGTTTGACCCATTGCACATGGTTATAAGGTTCTGCTAAGTAAAACATCCAGTTGTGGAATGAACAACTAAGGCTGACTACAAATGTGGGAAAACATATCTTGACTGAAGGTGGGGCAGCAGGCTTAAACCTATACACTGAGTATGTGTAAAATCAAGATTTTTGGGAATTAAGTGAAGAAGAAAATGGAATATATATGCTGGTTGACTTAAAAGTTGCCATGTGAATTTTTTTTTTTCAAAAGGAAAATAATAGTTTCCACGTGCTTTATAAAAAGGCTTTAAAATAACTCCGGTGGGATGGCACGATGGCTCACAGCGCCATGGTCCAATTCTTCTCGAGTGGCTGTCAGTATGGTTTGCACATTCGCCATGTCTGTGAGGGTTTCTTCCTGGTGCACCAGCTTCCTCCCACAGTCCAGAGGTGTGGATTGGCCATGCTAAATTGTCCATACCATCTAGGGATGTGTAAGTTAGGTGGTATTAGCCATGGGGAACACAGGGATAGGATAGGAGATGTGTCTTGTTGAAATGTTCTTTGCAAGGTCGGTGTGGACTCGATGGGCCAAATAGCCTGCTTCCAAACTTTATGGACTCTATGATTTTATGATAATACTCATGACTTGGTGGTAGCAATAAAGCCTTTGAGTTAAAGAGTTGTGGTTCCAGTCTCACCTCAAATCTTTGAGGAGAAAATGAAGGCTGACATTCGAGTTCAGTAAAAAAGAATGCTGCATTGTCAGAGAGGGAAATTCAGAGGAGATGGTAAAATGAACCCCTCTCTGTACTCTCAAGTGGAAATAAATAGTTATGTGGCATTGTTAAGAGCAAGCTCTCCCTGTTATCCTGGGAATATTTATCCCTTTATTATTAAAACAGATTAAACAGTCATAACACAGTTGAGATACCATGCTTTGTACAAACTGACAGCTGCAATGCTCCCAATAGTTAATTCATCGTAAAGCACTTTGGGACATCCAGAGGTCACAAAAGTTGCTCTAAAAATGCAAACTTTTTTAAAGAATTGTAAATAAACTGATAGAGGAAGATTAATCCATGCAAAAAATGTTGCAGAAATTCAGATTAGAAATATTTATTTATACCATGGGCTGAATTTAACCAGAAATTGATGACATGTCAAATTTAGCAAATTTCATGAACAGTTTCACCTCATGAATACAATCTTCCCAAATATGCCTCATTACCTATGCACCACCTCGCCACATGCCCCATTCATCATATTCTCCAATTGATCACAGTCAGAAGCACTGCCATATTTAAAGTCCATTGTATATCCTGTCAAGTGCTGGTAGTCCACAGCTGCCTTGCAGAGATTCCTCAGATATGTTGGACAAAGGGAACTTGACATCCCACCTTTCTGACAAGAACTTGGATATCTTAATAGACATGTGTGTATATGGTTGCTACCCATGGAGTGTGACCAGAGGCATTGGTGGCTAGAGTACAAGATAGAACTCTAGAGTTGTCAGGTTACCGCTCTGACTTTAATGTTGAGAATTTTTGCCATGTAGTTTCTATCCAGTGGAGGGGGATAATGAGGATGTTAATACATGCAAATAGACCTTATTGACTCTTTGCAAGAAGTTCATCTCACCATTGCCCACTTGATTGGAAAACGAGAGTTTTTGCTTTAAACTCAGGAATCTCATTACTGCTGATCTCACATGAGTTTCCCAACATTCTTGCCAATGCCGACATTGTTCAATGGCTGGGAAAATTCAACCCACTGTCTTAACATGCTGCACAAAAATTTCTTTGCAGAACAAATAACTTTTGGAGTATAATAATTGTTATGTAGGTGAATGGAGTTCCAAAGTAATAATGAACTGCAAAGCAGTCTTAGTACCAGAATGATACAGTGAAAGGAATAAGCTATTCGTATATGTTTAGATGCCCCAGGTAATGGTGGGCAAAATTGCTCATAATTTTGGTATTGAAGTTAATTGGATACTTACATGATTTGAGCATGCATCTCTTTCAGCACCTTTAGAAGCACACCTTGCAAGACTCAGTCCAGTGTCTCTCTGGCAACATCCACTCTTGCATTGAAAGCTTCCAATGCAGAGCTCACCATTACTCTTTAGAAAAATAAGACAAATTTTCGGAGTGTTAAGATCCATCAACAAAACTAACTGGGTGATTATGAAATATACCTTTGAAAAAATATTTCCACCAGGTTCTTTCAACCATGTACCTTCATTCTGTGAAGAAATGCCCAAATAAAGACTGCCATTACCTGTTTGGATTGCATGGAAAATCTACAAACTATGAGACATTTTTTGAGATATCATAAATAATTTCTGTACCACAATCAATGATTCAGGTTTCTTCTGAGATATTTTACTTATCAGATGTATTTTTGTCAGGCTTTCCATTAAACACCTCTTTTGCTAAAACCACAGAACAGTTTTAAAATTTGTCACACTGATTTATTCAATAATAGAAACAAGAAAACGTTCTCTGAAATGCTTTAATGAATTTTGCTGCGTGTTCTCCCATTCCTATTCTATAAAATGAGCAGAATAGCTGTGGATACCTCAGAAAACTTGCATCGCTTTCAGAATTTCCATCAAATTTAGTTCAGATAGAGGCATTCCAAGGAAATTCACCTCTAAAAGCATGGCACTAGATCAGTTATTACTCGTGTAACCTCTTTCTTAACCTCATCACTGTTCACTGTTATTGCATTGCTTTGTATACATTTCGCGTGACCGTACCAAGTTCAGAAACAATCCTTTTTCTGGAGCAGCTATTCCCACTGCAATGCAGCATGCCAGGAAGACCAAAGTTACCTTCATGTTGCACAGTTGTTGACAATTATTAGTGCAATGAAGAAATTTCAATTCTTGCTTTTATAGCTATCCAATAAACTATATATGCAAGTTAATCATTAAACTTGATCTTTTTATTCCCTGCAATACTATTGCTTAATACTATTCAGTATGGTTATCAGTGTGGGATTTTGACAGATGTCATGATTGTAAGCTGTTAGTCAAAGTTGACTGTTCCCCTTTGCTATATTTTCACTACCTTCTTTGATTTCAAACAGATGTTCTGTAAAACTTTACTCACTTACAATGTTTAACATTCACACTATATTAGTTGCTGTTATCAGTTCTGAACCACAGACGCTTATTTGTAACTCCAAAATGCTTAGACATTGAACAACTTGACAGACTTGATAAATTACTCATGGTAATGGATAATGTGGTTGATCAAATCATAATTTTGAGCAATTCAGCAGATTAAAAGTGCACTCTATTGGTGGATACATTGGCTAGAAAGGGGATGCATTAGATGAGACAAATTATCTCTTTTTGTGCTTTTCTTCCTATAATCTTGGTTAAATATGCTTACAATTCACAACAGTATCCTTGGGCCCAGAATATGGGAAAACAAATCGGCCAGGCTCTAAATTAACTCATTCAAAAGGCACACAGTTTAACAGAGAGGTTTATATAGGCAACCTCTCCTCCTCCTGACTGCTACCGCCCTCTCACTTGAAGAAATACTTTTCTTTCAGTAAATTCCAACAATCATCCCATGAAACTTAATTACTTTGCTTTTATAGAATTTTCAATAAAACTGAATTACAATTCATAGTTGTACTTGATCCCTATACCTTGTTTCAACAGAATAAATTACTTTTCCAGTCTCATCGAGATCCTGGTGCTACTCGTTAATCCTGCATTTTATGCAAAATAAGATGCACACCAATTCACAAATTGTGCTAAAATATTTCCCTATTTTTAATATTGACAGTTTTCAACTTGGCATGTCAGATGTGGTTCAGTTGGTAGCACTCTTATTTCTGAAACACAAAGTTCTAGGATCAAGCCTTACTCCAGAACTTGAGGAGGAAAAAACTGTCCAATATAGTATTGATTTGGCATGAAACAATCGAAGGTGCTGTGTTTAAAATGGGACATTAGACTGAGGCCTTATCCACCTGTACAGATGAATATAAATGATTCCATGGCACAGTTTTGAAGAAGGGCATGACAGCTATTTCCCAGGATGTATCCCTCAAAAGTAATCACTTAAAAAGTGATCATCTGATCACTATTATATCGCTACATCTGAATGTTTGCTGAGCACATACTGGGTACCACATTTCTTATATTACACCAGTGACTAAACTTCAAAAAATACTTCATCGACTGTAATTGACACATCTGGTAATTGTGTAAATTGCTATGTAAGTGTAGGTCTAATAGGATTGGCAATAGCACAATAATAAACTTGTTTTGCTCTCCCTTGCTTTTACACTGTCCGCTGGAATCAGCCCTGCATCCTATCACAATGATTTCTGCTTAAAATATTTTCAAACAAGAATAAGTCGATTTTGGATAGTGTTATCTTTGACCAAGTCATTCTGTATCTTTACTCTTTGTGATGCCAGTACTCAGTTCAATAGTAATTTATACTTTGGTAATAACAACAGCTGTTGACCACCTTCCTTGACTGAATTTATGTAAAATTCATCAAAGCACACAAAAGGTCAAATTAAAGGTGATTTTAAATTTGTTTGCTACAGGCTAATTCTTCTTTATCACTACTTGCAAAATGTTACAATAAAATCCAATTACTCATTGATACTCTTACTAAGCCGCAGGTTAAATTATTCCATTCATTGCAAATCGACCCTTTAATTTCCCCATGTATTGGATAAACAATAATAAATGTCTGTCTACAAAATAAAAACTCCTCCTATTTTTATGTTCCCAACTGTGACTGTGTTTTTTCACTGGTCCTTGTATGTCTAGCCAGTACAATGATATGGAATGATAAAGTTGGGAACTGTGCACATTTTATTGTTGATTTTATAGTTCTAAGTCTGTATTGATGCTCTTAGCTTTATCCTTTGACACTTACACCTCTGCTCTCTATTTACACATGAAAAGCAGTTTCATTAAGACAGAATATTTGCTCAACACTTGCAAATAATCATGAAAATGTGCTTCTGTAGTAACTATTAAATAAATTAATGCTGTTATGTTGGACTGCCCATAAACATCTTGAAAGACTACTTATAAAAAATACAGATGAAACATTTCATAGTCTTCCATTAAGGCAAATTCAAATTGTTACTTGCTTATCAAGCTGCTCTCCCATAGGGGCAATAAATTGCGGAGTATATATGGTGATCTTGGGCATTCTATTTTTGCTCATAATGCACAAAGACAAATAAATGGCAGTGAGCTTGGCCTGAATTAGTGTCAGGACAAAATTGACTAGGTAGTTGTTTGCTGATCCATCATTAGTGCTAGCTAGGCATATTTGATTGACAAGCAAGCAGTTAATTCAATGTGAAAATTGCTGGTGAATTGTTGAACTATTGTTTCATTCTGCTGTCATTTATTTTGAATTTCCAATTCCTTTAACTACTTAAAAGCAGAATGGCAGAAACCAGTTGAACGTGGAATTTGACTAGTACAGAACTTCCCAGAAACCAGGGAGTTGATTTCATCTTGCTGACATCCTCTTTACGATTAAATATGAGGCAGTGGATGTGAAGCAGCATGTGAAATTGAATTACCAATATACCAACAAATCTGATTCTCAGGTGGACATTGATTTAGGTGGCATAAGCTCCTGTTAGTAACAATGAGGGTCAGACTCTTAAACAGGGTTTCTTGATTACCACCTAAGATCCACACTCCATACCTTTGTATCAATAATGCAAAACAAACTATGGATGTGATCTTGCATGTGGAAATCTAAATCCTTATGCAAATACATGTACTTATAACTGCTTAATGAGATAATGTTCTTTAATCATGTGGTCACTGTGCCAATGAATTCTCTAAAAGTCTTCCCTTGACTGACCATGATATGATTATTAGGTGGTGTGTGGCAGTAATGTCTTTAAGGGTTGTGGTTTAATACTCCATTCTGATTTTAATCCCTTTGGCATATAATTTTGTGTGGGTGTTCCAAATTGCTAAAACTTGAGTCATGACATTGCAATTAAACATTGAGTTAGAGCAGAGCATTGGGGGTCAGAAATTCATGAGGATGGATTAACCTTAAGTCACGCCCTTTACGATACAGATTTGGGTCTCCCCTGGAGAGCTGATGTTAGTTGCCAGCTGTAGATGCCACAGCCTTAAGAGAGACACCTCCTGCATCAAGACCATTTAGGCTGTTGTCACTTGCAGCAACTTCCAGAGTTAATTCCAGGGGTTGAGTCCACTATGCTCTTTGCAGGAGCTAACTGAAAATCTGCCTGTAATTCAACAAAGCCATCTCACACTGAGTCGTTCACTTCCTTTCTTAATCAAGGCTAACAGTGGCACTGACTTCCCACAAAAATCCTCAATCATTCTCAGAGAGGTGCCGCTCATTGGGAAACAAGTGTAGTGTATTGAATGGTTTCTAATTTTATAAAGAGATTTTATTTTGAAGAAGAGATGAAAAACAACAGAAATAAATGAAAGTCAGAGCCAATATAATAAAGTAATATAAGTAAGCAAAGTAGGGTAAGGAATATAACATTAGCACAAGGGAAGTAAGTTTATAGCATTCTTATATAAGCATAATATTTTTTATAAACAAAGAGAGTATCTGAGAGGCTGAGGGGAAGTTATGGCAGCAGAGCTCACACCTATGAGATGCTCCTCCTGTGCCAAGTGACAAATCATGGAAGTTTCAGTTGTTCCTGGTGGCCATCTGTGCAGGAAGTGTGTCCACCTGCAGTTACAGGCAAATCACATTTCAGAGATGGAGTTGCAGGTGAATTCACTGTGGATCATTTGCAAAGCTGAGTATATCGTGGATAGTTCATTCACTGAAGTGATCACACTGCAGGTGAAGATTGAAAGGCCAGAAAGGGCGTAGGTGACCACTAGGCACAGTAGAGCAAGGCAGATAGTGCAGGAGCCCCCTGTGGCCAGCCCCGTTTCTCACAGATATACCAGTTTAAATACCGTTGTGCGAGATGACTGCGCAGGGGAAAGCAATGGGAGCCAACTTCATGGCACAATGGGACAAGAGGGGAGGAAGAAGAGTGGTAGGATGATTGTGATAGGGGATAAGGGATTGTGAAAGAGACACACAATTCTGTAGCTATAAAAGAGATTTCAGGATGATATGTTGTCTGTTTGGTGCTAGGGACAGGCATGTCACCAAACGGCTGCAGAGCATTCTGAAAGGGGAGGGCAAACAGATCATGGTACATATTGGTATGAACTACATAGACAGAAAAAGGGATGAGGTCTTGCAAGCAGAGCTTAGAAAACTGGCAAGTAGATTAAAAAACAGGACCCAAAAGGTGGCAATCTCTGAATTACTTCCAGTGTTACATGCTAATGAGTATAGAAGTAAGCAGTTAGTCCAGATCAAATGGGGCTGGAGAGATGGTGTAGGAGACAGGCCTTTAGATTTCTGGGATATTGGGATCATTTCTTGGTGGCAGTGGGACCTGTACAAGGCTGACAGGTTGCACCTGAACTAGAATGGGACCAGCATCCTTGCTTGTGCTGTCAGGCAGAGTTTAAACTAACTTGGCAGGAGGGTGACATCCAGATAGAAGGTTCAGCAGGGGTAGATGAACAGCCAAAATTAGAAAAGACAGCAAGGGTGTCAAGATGGCATAAAAATTATAGGTCAGTTGAGACACAAGGGAGTTTGGTAAAGCTAAAATAGTATTTCTTTTACTGCATGGATTCTGACAAACAAGGCAGATGAGTTCAGTGCACAAATTAAAACATGACATAATTGCTATCACTGAGACATAGTTGAGAGAGGAATGAGACTGACAGCTCAGTATTCCAGAATATAGTGTCTTCAAGCAAGACAAGGAAAGAAGTAAAGGAG